AAAATTAATAATCACAATAATATACAATATGATTATTGAGTCAATAAGGCGCCGCAACTTAGTACACACTATGATGTGTACATACTACATACTATACGATAAGAATGAGCATTAAATATACACTACTAATCACTTTTTATCTCTCCGCAACAAAATCACTCGATTATGTACACGAACTAAGAAGATAAATTGCATACCTACTTAAAAAATATTAAAAATGCAAAACAAACAAAAATTGATAATTTTTTTAATGTAAAATAAAGTATGTAATTTATAGGTATGTATGTAAATGTAAATTATAGATAATATGTAATTTGAAATAATAAAAATAAAATTGAATAATAAGTATATTGTATGTATTAGTACACTAAAATTGTATATACAATTTTTATTTGTCAATTTTCTGGTTTTACCGCGTAATACGATTTTTTGTTTAATATGTTATTTTTATTTGGTCCCTTGGATAGCGTCTTAAACGAATTTTACTGTATATAAAATATAGATTTGTTAATAAGTAAACAAGTGAATTTCGTGCTTTTCACTTATTATAATTTATATCGCACTTAACAAAATAAATATCTGTTTAGTGTTTACATAAATTTAGAATTTTTATTTTCTATACTTTTCTTTAGAAACATTCTATAGTGTAATTCATTTTTTAAATTAAAAATAATTTTACAAAATCGTTGAAATAAAACTTTTTAAAAATTAATTTTAAAATTTTTCTCCTCCAGTTGTGATATCATAACGATAATGGCTGCAAATAAGAAATACATTAAATATGATCAACGTCAATAATCAGCGCCTATCTCAATTCTAAGTACTTTTATAAATTAGGTATTAAAATCAAATTCATAATTCAATAAACTTTCGACTAAAAAAAGTTGTTATATCATATAAACGCGTTCGATATAATGATGACTCAGCAATTTATTGTCAAACGTGTAATCAAAAAAGTTACGAAGTACTTATCTACAAATGTTTTTACTTACAAGAACATTTGGCGGCATTGCTAAAGAATTAATTACGGCATTCGCGACTTCTTCCACATCAATTATTTTGAAATTCGCTGTAGTCGTCACTTCTTTGGCGTATTTGAGAATATTTGCTACCTAACATATCAGCTGTTGCTGTTGGTTCTGAGCTAACACTCTTAATATTGAAATATTCAAATCAATATAATTTTCATTGTTAATATTTTAAAACTCGATAGCGAAATCGGCTACTAAATGAAATGATATTCTAAAGTTCTAATATTCTAATACAAAAAGTCAAAAACGCTGAAGCCAAATCGATATCACTATCTCAAAATCAATGAGTTGATTTGTTAAGAATAAATTAACTTGTTAAATACTATTCCTTTATACATGAATTCAGAAAATTATATATTTGTAGGTTAACCTCGACAAATTTATTGTAAAACAAATAAACTTAAATGGGTGAAAAAAACAAACAATAATACTTCAAAACAAAATATGTAAAAATGTATTTTATACGGCATGTAGCTTGTATAATACCAAGCCATATTTATATATAAATATTAGTGTTTGCTATCGATATTGAAATACAAATAAAGTTGACGAATTTATATTTATATATACACTTCTATAACTTTTATCTACTGGATAATAAATTATGGCATATGTTGATATGTTTCAAAAAAACATTAATAAAAAAACTGCTTGAAGAAAAACATTTTTAAACAGAAAATACATATTTCTATTATTTTTATATCTCTATATTTAGAATTTTTAATTTCACATACTTCTAAGCTAATACATAAACATTAGTAATTAATAAGCATTTAGTTATAAAGATATGCAAATTGATATGGAAATTAAAAATTAATCGTTGGCCAACACAATACTTAATAGTAGTAAATCAATATTATTCAAATAATAGATCGTAAATACCGAATTTGAATTTTTATTTATGAATAATATTATAAATTAAACATTTTTCATAATTTTTAGATTGTTTCTTCTTTTTACTGTTCGTTGGGTTGTTTTGGTGTTTGATTGTCAACCTTATACTTTATCTTCAACTATCACTCATCATTTGTTAAATTAATAAATGTATGTCCTCCCAAAGAACGAATAACCGTGTTATATATGATGACACGGCACATAAACACTATTTCTGAACAATAATAATGAATGACCTATTTATTTGAATGATGTGACCGTCGATTTTATTTTTTGTCATCGATTTGTAAGCTTCTCTCAAACACACGCTGAACACCAGAACAATTAGATTAATTGTGCCTTGTCAATCCTCCAGTTTCTCGTCTGTATCACATTAGCCATATATTTAATATTTCATGACTTACGACAATTTCTAATATTGTATTTCATATGCAGAAGTCTGAAGTACTCACTTAAAAGGATCGATATTTTCGCAACTCCCGCATTGTTAATCAAAATACTGGGACCTCCTAGTGTCGAATCTACCCACGAAAACGTCATTAACAGCTTGCTCGTTAATGACATGGCATATTTAGCGTGAAAATAGTTCCATAGTGTTTATTATTTAATGTCTCGGTTCATTTCTTGAGATCAAATCAAAAATTGAAATATATATATATATATATACACGATACTATTACACATTACTCATTTAATAATATAATATATGTAGTTATTTTAAAGATTTAAGCTATAATAACGTATCATTACTAAAATATATTTTCCTAAAATTTAATCATTTAATTATTTTTCATTACCTTACACAATCTTCTCTAAAATTTCTGATACTAACACACGCATTATTAATCAATAATCTTACAATGTAAAATATGTTGAGCACGGGAAAAATAATATTGTCAGTATAATTAAGTCGTTAACATAACAGAGCGATTTTTTTTTATCGAACAACGCTCATTATTTCGATAATGTTTTTAAAAAATATTCATAGATTATTCTCTACGTTTATAAGTGCTGGAGAATTTCATCATTTACCAGATACCAATATTAAAAGTTAAAACTACACTTTATCTTCTTCCGGAAATGGTCATATATCCGGGAATTTAACCAAACACGTCGTACATTGTAGTGTTTGTATGTGAACTTTGTTTATATTTGATCGTGTGTAAAATATATCAATGCGTTACCAGGCTCAAATCTTCGTAAAATCTATGCTGCGTAGCAATAATAGGTGACACAAATTACGTACTTACAAAAATACGTGTGAATACAAAAATTGAAACATACTTGCTCGTTAAAAGAAGTCTAGTCGTCGCTCGCAAGATTCGGTGTTAGAGAACAGTGGCCCATTATTGGTACACACAATGCACTGACGAAAAAGACGACATGGTTGGCATGACGAAAAGGCGACGCGGTTGGCGTGACGAAAGTGGCATCAAAGTTGTTGTGCTTTCAAGAACTAGTAGTTTTATTTTCGGTGGCAGAGACCATTCTTTGACGACGCATAAGAAACACAATTCTTACGTTTTAACGTTACAAATACGTGACCGTACGTCCGTACAACACGGATAGTCTCTTTTGCCAATTACAAAGATTTATATTTGAAGCTCCCATTTTCCACGTGTCACATTCTGGCCGTTATTTATTAATATATTATGTTATAAGTTTGCTTGTTACGATGGTATGCGATTACAGTAATCTTTACTGAAACTAAAAATTCTAAACAAATGAGTATTATATATATTTCGTAGATATTTAAAGTTCAAATTCGTATAAAATTAGGTATTTAAACAAAGTACAACGATTTTAGTTATTCTGTAGTACCTACTTCTAAAATATTTTTCGAGGAGATTTGAAACTTTCATGTATATTATACACAATTTTATTCTCAAATGCAACGCTTTTGGCAAAAATTAATTGAATCCACTGCATTACAAACATAAAAATATGATACTTCAATAAAAAGTAAATAAATACTAGTAGTAAAAATTGATTATAAAATATATTTAATAATAATATTGGTCTTCGCTATCAGAATCATTTATCGTAAGATTAATAGTTAAATACAAATTTAACACGTACCATAGTAATGTCATAATATAATAATAACTTCCTCAATGGCCGAAATACACTCAACACCAACTACGTATAAAACAAATCAATTAATTATTCTCCCTCTCCCTCGCTTTTTAATTTAATGAAAAATGTGCAATCTATACAAAAAAGTATTATACAACATGCATGTTATGTTATAGAATAAAAAAATAAACAAATCATCAATGCTTTTCCTTCATGAAAATTACTGATAAACGGTTGACCAAATTACCCTCCTTCCTCTATCAACATTATACAAACTTATGTAAATTCTATGCATATAATAATTTGTTGCATAGATTTTACATTTGGGAGGAACAAGCTAAACGTACATAATTCGTAGATACCTACTGACTATTAGATTTCCATCAATTGATAGAACTCAATCATTGTATTGATTAAACAACGAGAAATACGCTAAACGTCAAAAGAGTTTTGTTTTCCAAATCCACAAATGCATAAGTATTTTTTAACGACATTTTTCTTTTAGCGATAAATGAGTACAATTATTGTTTTTGATAATCTCAAATTCTTAACAAATTAGTATTTATTATAGGTATATGTTTAGAGTATTCAGTATTCAATATTTTAGTTTGTTTTTGAAAAATTTAAAACTTAAACTATAAAAAGTCTTATTTAAAAAAATCTTAACATATTATGATATCCTATGAACTGCTTATTGTATATTACATTGTTATAAAATGGCTTACACATTTTATAAACGTTTTGAATAAAATAATAAACGAAAAGAATTTTATGATTTTCAATCGCTTTCATTAAAAACAGTATTAATCAATAAATATAACATGACATGATATAAATATCATTGTCTTAATAAAATAATAATGAATTAATCATGTTTTTATATTATAAAATAACCATTTGATCAAATAGTTGTAACATATAATCGTTTAAATAAAATAAACACTAGTTTTTTTTTTTTATATTGATTCGAATCAAAGAAACAAATATTTTTACAATGAATTATAAGTTAAGTATATTTTCCACAACTTGAGAACTCGGTTTTAAATGAGCCTGTATTGGTGTTCCAGTAGGTATGACAATCATTTCAGCAATCTGAAAACAGACATTATTGAGAAACCAAACACAACGTTATTATAATATTTTCATTTGTATGGGTAAATTATTATAAAGAAGATAAAAATAAATGTTTAAGTTATAAATTCAGAAAGTCAAATTAACTGATGACACACATTCCATAAAAGTGAAGATTGGATTTTTGTTGTTATTATTATTATTATTTCAATAAACAATATCTGTTAATATTTGTTTTTCCAATTTTTTTTTTTTTGAAGAATTGTATACGTGAAATACCATTATGTATATTAAATAAACTTGCTGTGTTGTAGGCCTGACCCCAAAATAAATAAACGGTTATAAATAACGGCACTGTATTTTTGGTTGTGGTGTATTTCAATTCATAAGCACACGTCGGTAACAGTATAGGTACCTCACTTTATATACAAATCTGACTAAAGTGGCAATTCACTTGCGGTGAATTGTATGTACTACTCAGTGTACTTAGGTTTATGTAGAGATGTGAGTTTGTATCATACAATGGTATAAAACTGTATTATACAAGGTATTAAACAAACGGTATAAAATTATTTTATACAGACGGTATAAAAAAAAATGAAGGCGTTATTTTTAGTTATTATTGCCATAAATAATATCTTTATTATTTATTATTATCATTTATAATTTTAAAACGTTTATTTAGCATTAATATGTTAGAAATGATACAAATCAATAGTACCTACTATTATAATATTGTAAATATAGGTACAATAATATAGTGTATAAGTATAAATTAAAGTTTTCGATTTATTTTTATTTAAAAATTTAACATGAAAACAGATACCCTAATACCTTTGTTTATTTAAACTTTTTAAAGATAAAATAAATTTTTTTACTACATTTCTGATGTTAAATATAAGTACTTAGTACTTACAAAAAGTAAAAAATGTGGAACCATAAAGTTAATAGATATATTTGTATGTTAATTGGTATAACATAATAAAGAAACATAAATCCTAATTTATTTGATATTTTAAGAACATAATTTACTACCTATGAAATATGAATTGTTATTAAAATATTTTAAATTTAAACAATATCTAGTCAATAGATATAAAAATGCATGTTACAAGGTACATCATAATTGGTAGCATGACTAAATATTAATTTGGTGAATTTGGTCTTAAATAATTCTTGTATTATGTATTTTTTTTTAATATTTTCTGACCTTTTAGCCATTTTACAATTAATTAATTTTAAAATGATTCATATTTTATAATTAAGAATTGTTTTATAGCCTGTGTTAAATTTCTGGTAATTTAAAGTACTACAAAGTTTTATACGGTATATTATACAAAAAAAAAAAAAACCATATTTTTACATCTCTAGGTTTATATATAACAATTATTAACTTCGTGGGCTAATTGGTTTAGATGTACCAACGTCCGCGAAAACAAACGACTTTAAATTACGTTACTGGTTATTATTGTTAATATTTATTTATATATTATATCAGTTTATATTATCACATGGAATAAACACAAATAGAAAAGTTTGTTCAGTGCCACCTATCAAATGTGGTTCAAGCCTTCCTGATATTTCTAAGAATAATACTTTAAACTTTTGTCAACATCAGCAGTCTATTGTTGAGTCTACAACCCACAACTATACACACACACAAACATACATAATGTTTTTTATATTTATATATATATTAGATATTAAAACTTTTCAAATAAATATTCTAAAATTCGTATATTTTCTAGTGTACGGTATTACCCATACGTAAATATTTGATGGGATATCCGGATTACATATACCTACGTATATATAATTGTATATACCAGAATTATTTATGAGTTTATAACTAAACTGAGGGTGAATTTCGAGGTTGTAAGATTTGTTATCTGGTTAGATTGTAAATAGATATTTATTTATGCGTATGATTAGAATTTCTAATTATATTTTATACACGTTTCATTAAATTCTTGTACATTATTGAGTTTTTCGAAATTATTCCGGTTTAAATTCAAACATTCTATTATAGAATTTATGTTTAAAGTTCTACTATAATTGTTTAAAATATGGATCTTTTTAAATATGTTCTAACATCTTTCTTGAACTCCGGTCATAATATAGTTTAACGATTATAATTGCAAAAAATCAATAAATTATTCAAAAGATACAAAAAAAAATAAAAAAAATAACGATTTTTTGAAGTTGTGACTAATTTAAAAGTATAGGTACCTTAATTGGATTGAAATTCCTAATTAGACACATTTTTAGTGTAAAAAATATATTTTATCATAAAATCGGGTTTGATAATACGATGACAATTATTTAGATATTGTTAAAAGTGTTTTAAAAAAAATCATTGGATGCTACTAAACTAGATTTATAGCATACTTGATTAATCAATACAAATTAGTATGGGTACAAGTAGTTTTACGTACAAGAACATTCGGTGGCGTTGCCAAACATGCGATTACGGCATTTGCGATGTCTTCCATTTTGAGCATTTTGTAGTTCACCGTAGATATGTCTCTGATAATTTTGCTGACATCTCTTAACATTTCTGTAGCAACTGGTCCTGGACTGATACTCTGAATATTAAATAAAATAAATATTATTATTAAATGTTTTTTTCGGTAAGTAATTGGGCAACCAATATGGAGTAGTATTAATCAGCCTGTCAAACGAGGTAGACGCATAACAATATAAATAATATAATACAAGAACTATGAGTTCAAACAATCGTTATTACTATTCAAAAACCAATGTTCCGAGACCTTATAACCATATCATTATTATAAGCGATTATTATTCCGACACGCGTTAACACGAATTAACTTTTGAGATTTAATAAATTTGATGACGAAAAAATTTACAATACCTATCAATAAAATCTGGACAGTATTTATAAAAATATGATATAGGTTAAAATATAAATTAAATTGTAAGTACTTAAATTATGTAAGTATGTAAGTCGTTATTATTGTATAGAAATACCGTATAACAGATAATCAAAAAGTATGTAATAATTAATAATAATTTATTATCTAATACCTAAATTATAAATATGTATAAGGTATCAATATTTTTATTTTAAACATTTATAAATTGAGGGCTGCTACGCTTCTATGACATCGCAAGTAATTTGTGCGTCAATGGTTAGGCTTAGAATTTAATATATTTACACAATTTAACGATATAATAATGAGATAAAGCAGATATCATGACAACCATATACGACTGATTGACGGTTGTCTTTAAAATATAGTACAGCCTATAACCGTTATGGCAACAAAAAAAAAAAGAACATCGAAATTTATGAATCAAATTTTAATAACATGTTGTAAAATATATTAAATTTTATAATTATATATTTAAACGTTTAACCTACTGTGTACAGAAATATTAGAAAAAAATAAATTGATGACTTAAACTAAAAAATTGTTAATCTTTGAAATTCTAATAAAAATGTAATAACTACATATTTCAGAATTTTAATTGTACGTTTTTCAGGTGCTTACTGTCTTTAATTTTATTACAATATATATCGCAATGCAATCTTAGCCCTTTCATCACGTCTTTTTAATTTTTAAACCTAGTTCCTTTAATAATGTAGTTTTTAAAAATCTGATTTTTGGAATTTTTAAATTTACTTAGATTTTATTTTTGAATTCTTGATATTTTTTATATTACTTAAAAGATGGTTTGCGGAGAAATTAATTTATATTTTTAAAGAAGAATGGCCTTACTTTATCTTTCTACAATAAATTTAGCAAGTAGTTTTTTTTTGAAAATGTTAACACATCAAAGTCAAAATTTTAAATAGTAATTTTTGAGCTATTTAACTTAATCTTATAATTTTTTTAAATTTGTTTTTAAAAACTATCATCCTTAGTTTAAACATTTTAATACTAGTGAAACGAGTAGTTTGAGTTTTGAATTAAGTAAATTATTAGTCAATAAAAATATCTACTAAATAATGTACAACTCAAAAGGGAGCCAAGAGGGGGTTTCTCATTTGAAAAACGGATGTTTGTATCGCAAGTTATTGTGAAATGTTAATCATGAAGATTATACGATTATTGTATAGCATGAAACATACTATCGTTAATTATACGCGATTTCAAAGAAAATTTACGCTTCGGATAATTTTAACGCAATTGCATAGAAAACTATAAGTGCGTCTCAACAACTTTTGATAGTGATCCTCTTTTACTATATTATACCGATCACCAACTATACCAATATATTCACCTCGACCTCGTATTTAAATACAATAATATTTTCTGTAGCTTAACGTGAAACTTGGTGGTCCTATGCCTATAGAAAGTGAAAACTCCCTTAAACACAGACATTAAACAATTAAATAGATAGTAATGCTAGTAAAAGTAAAAAAATAATTTCCCATAGGTTTTTAATAATGTTATAACAAAAGTATTGTAGTCACCAGACTAGAACGTATTTTGAGAACTCCGAGAACAAGGCCACTAAATTTAATACTCTTTTAAAATATTTTAAAAATATTATTTTTTAACAACCAACACGATTTATCTATGTATAAACAATATATAGGATGATTTGCCAAGTATATTCATATTCATTTTTTATTTAATAATCAATTATTCAAACTCTAATTCTTAAAATTTTTAAATATATACTTTAAGGCCATATTCTCAAATTCTCGAGATTATTCAAACTATTATTCAAAGAATGTTTTGTGATGACACAGACTTCTCATTTTTAAATTAGAATTATTTTTTTTTAAATTATTAAAATATTTATATTATAAATAATACTTCTTAAAAATAGTTTTACGAAAATATAAATTATTATATGTAATATCGGATAACAAAATAATTATTCTTGAATCACGTTTTAAAAATTACAAATATTGTTAGATTGATAAAAACTACTAAAATTTTTAAATTATCATGGTCCTCATATCTTCCAAACTTATTATCGTGGATCTATTGTCTTTAGTACACAGATTCAAATAACTAAAAAAATAACTGCTCGCTCGATTTTTGATTTTTCTAAGTGGACATCTTTAATAAAAATAATTTACTATTTAAAAGTGGGGGGGGGGGTTTGATTTGAAAATAAAAGTTTGTATCTCCATATAGGATACATATTAGGTAAGTTACAAGAAATTAGTACAGAAAATTTCAAAAATTTTAAAATATGGTCTTAAAATACATTGGGAAATTTCAAAAACTAAATTTTAAATACCTGCAGTATTAAAGAAGAAGAAAAGGGATGGGCATGCTTAGTTAATCATTCGGTACATATCATAGTTAGTAGAATAGAGCTAATGAAAACCTATGTACTGCTACAGCTGCTGCAATATCGTGTGGCTAACTATTAACTACTAACTATGTGTATTGTATTAATTATATAAAAATAAAACACGTTACAAACCGAAATTTAAATACTCTAATTTACTTTACATATACAAAAAACACCAACACTAAACAAAATATTAAAGTGGAATGTTTGTTGTTTTTATAAATAATTATTGGTATACCCACCATAAAAGTTTTGTGATACATATCACGAATTCTACAACTATAACCGTATTGCAGTTTCAATATAAATTTATCGTTAATCTGCAAACATCATGAAAGACGAGCTACACTTTAATAACGTTATTCGCCATATGAGAATAAAATATATACAACTCGCTATTCAAAATTCAATTATTTGATGGGATATTCGTTCAAAAATATATTATATGAACAGGAATTGGAGCGTGTTAAACTCGATAAAAATTGTTATAAGTAGTTAATATATATTATTAATTATTTTGATCGAAAACGGGAAGGGGTAATACATTAATACGCTCCATAGCAACTGACACACTTCGAGAGAAAATATATTTGAAATCATGCAATGGCAAACGCTTTGAAAGGCAAGTATAATTTTTGTAAAAATAATGTTTTATGGTTATATATACACGATATTTTCATTTTATTGAGCTCATCCTTTAACAATATATAGCACAACAGGCAAACATATACAAATATTAACCAAAGTACAATATAGAAATACAACACACGCCTAATTTTCTCGAGATTTAAAGATGTTGGCTATTTTATTGAAACGAAAATTCAGGAAAATAAAATCGATTGATTTCAACTATCCATTTCAACGACTTAATAGAAAAAAATTATCACGTATCGTAGACTGTTAAAATTTTTGTCTTTTTTATTTATAAAAAAAAAAGTTTATCCTGATTACATAATTGGACTTGATTTTTGAATTAACTCAAAGTACTTAAGATCAAAAAAATATATTTTAAAGTACTCATCGATTTATGAATATTTAGACACTTATTAAAACTTATAATATAATAGATCTTAAAACGAAGTCCAGAATGTGGTTTGTACACTATTTTTATTTTATTTATTTTTTGTTTTTCAAATAAATAAAAAATATATAAAAATTTGACTAATTTAAAAGTTAATTCTTCCATAAGACCATAAAATATTTTATTATATACTCAAAACAAACAGTTATTGTCCAGTAAATAACGACAAAAAAATACAAATTATCAAAAACCTTAATTACAAAACAAAATTAAACAACGAAAATAGCAATTTAAAAATCTATTTCCGATATTACTATAAAATATGGTATAAAACAAGTTTGCAACAAGTTTGCTACTGTTAAGAAACAAACAAGAAAAGTGTTTTCTAAAAATAGAAAATAAATTTTCCATAAATTTTTATTTTTAATTATAAACTTATAACCAACTGTTGTGATCTAATTAGACCTCAAACGTTTGAAAGTAAATTAAAAATATAATTATGTTCCTATTATTTTGTGCACAGAATAGATTTTTTTCGGTTTATCGGTCAAATATAATATATATATAACTGTACAAATAAACAATACCAAGAAGACCTTTTGAAATTTTTACTATTGCTAAGAATTATATAATTATAAAATATCTTTAAATAACAAATTCTCATAAATTATTTATTTTTTATTATTATGCATTTATTTTTATAAGTAAACTAATAAATAAAAAATAAAATGATTTGGTTTACAATATTAATACTGGATAAAAATATAAATATAAAATGGCGAAAAATTAATATTTATTCAAAACTGCATGTATCAGTTAAGAGATAACTTAATATATAGATATTAAATATACGCATGATTTATATGATATATAAATATTACATTATACTCGTAAATTAGTATTATAATATAAAGCTGTTAAAAACTATTTAAAAAGTGAAGTCTAGATCTCCCCCGTTTTATAATAAAATATGTTATTGTACTTGACAAGTATAAAACTTAAATAATACAATTTACTATTGAAAGTTTCTAAAAAGGTAAAATTACAGATTTTGTGAAGAAAGAGCAAGTAATTCGTATAACAATTTTTAATCGAATTAACGGAGAAATTTATGTTGTTGTAAATTATAAATGTGTAGGTGCTTGCTTACATAAATAAAAATATAACTGATAGGACTAGACACTTTTGAGTTTTTTCCACTGTTTATTATAAACAGTACATAAGCTGACGGGAAAATGTCTTTGAAAAACGGTACTGAGTAACAATAAGACTAACAAAGTAAAAAAAGTATGGCAAAATATTTACATAAAACCTATCACATTTAATTTATTTGAACTTTTTATCCGGTAAAATATTCTTATATCTATATAATAGTGTAACCACGACGGCCATTATACCATATTAATATGTATTACCTACCGAAAGTAATAGAAAGTTTTTTCCAGCGAAAATATAACATTACTCTACCCCGAAGAGTATTTACGGGGAAACTGTAGTATGTCCGTACGGGGCATTAATACCACTTTTCCACTTTTTTTTTAAATATCCGTTGAAATCATTAGGTTTTTAAATAAATAAAAATAATGATATAAGCACAGTGAAACTATTTATATGAGAGTAACAATACGATTATCTTACAATAGGTTCTTTACTAATCATATTATAAATATTGTATTAATTGTATTATACTATACCGAAACTTTGATATTTGATCCCATTAATTGTAATTCGTGTCGTAAACCATCGCACAGTACTGTGACTGCATACTTTGAAGCATTATACATTTTGAACCCAAAATGCGGAGTTATAGTATGCCCAGCAATACTAAAATCAAATAAATATGTAGGTTTAAATATTTATAAATAAGTAACTACAGTGGAACCTCGATAACTCGAACTTCTATAAGTCGAATTTTCGATAAATCGAAAAAATGTCTTGGCCTCTACTTTATAACATATCATATGTGTAACCTCTGTAAGTCGAATTTTTGATGACTCGAATTTTTTTTCGCCCCCAACCGATTCGAGTTATTGAGGTTCCACTGTATACTTGTACATAAAGTTGTTTATCGAATATTATATATAATATGATTAAAATATGTAATACGCATTTAACCACAGTAATAATTAATTATCGTGAAACATAATTAAAGTAAATCGCTTTCTGAATATTAATAATAAATTACCTATTTATTTGAATGATATGACCGTCGATCTTATTTTTTGTCATCGATTTATAAGCTTCTCTCGAACACACGCTCAACGCCAGAACATTGAGATTAATTGTGTCTTGCCAATCCTCCAGTTTTCCGTCTGTATCACATTAGCCATATCAAATATTTCAAGACTTACGAGAGTTTCTAATATTGTATTCCATATGCAGGCGTACTCACTTAAGAGGCTTGATATTTTCGCAATTCCCGCATTGTTAATCAAAATACTGGGACCTCCTAGTGTCGAATCTACCCATGAAAAAACGTCTTTCACAGCTTGCTCGTTAGTGACATCGCATACCTTTGTATAAATAGTCCCGTAGTCTTTATCATTTATTGTTTCGGCTAATTCCTAGAAAACAAATCAAAATTTGAAATACATATATATATTACATACTTTATACTATTATACTCAACACACATTTAATACAACAATATACATATTTTACTATATAAATAATTTAAACTTTTACGACGTTTGAAAATATTTTCGAAATATTTAATATTAAGTTATTTCTGTTTATCTTTTATTTTTTATTTATCTTTACTCGTTCTCTGACAACCCCTAACTAGGTCTCAAAAGACACTAACGTTTCGAGATTAATAAATTCGTTTCTAAAGAGTTCTAAATCAACAGACAGCCTCCCTCATTAAGCTCATTATGTCTTATCATTGAATTATTTACTTATTTTTTACGTATTTTATACTGTTTATGTTGAAAAATAAAGCATTGTCATTGAAAATTGATACAGCGATACGATATCGGTTTGTATTATACGTAGGCATATCTATAATTTTAAGTTATTTATTTAGCTGATATTTCTGTATTGCTGCGTAACTTAGCAAAGTGCAAACACTAAGACTGTAATTTAAGTTACAATTTCAAGAATTGAAGTCGCAATACAGTGCTCTTACGAGATCAGAGTTTTTAAACCAGACAATAATATAATTTTGTCGCACCATTGCACCCTAAGTGTTTTTCTATATGACTAAGTACATCAAAACATTTTCCAACATATATCCAACTCACACGATTACCTACCGTTCATTGATCAATTGATTAACGCTTAAAGTTCTATTCTTCGTTTTAAATTTACGTTAATATATACATATAATAAATTTTGAAATAGATAATGAAGTACCGCCGTATCAATCTATCAGTCTATCTATATGTAAAAAGACAAAAAGTTTTCGCGAAAAAAAAATTTGAATTAATTTGTAACAATATACTTTTTAACTGATGTACAATTCGAATAGCTATAACAACTTTTTAATATTGATTTAAACGAAAATTCCTGTAAATATAACAAAAATGTTGTAATTAATTCGTACGTCTGTTATTTTTTTTTTCTGTTTATAATAGTGCAATGGCATACACATTTTTCATAGGTCTTTACATTTAGGATAGACAACATTATCATAATTTCTCTCAACACCAATACACCGCTTGGTATCGCTAAAATTCAGATAAACAATGATCATTATCAAAAAATAAATATTGATTTTAAAAATATAATGTAATATACAGTTTAGACTTAGTGTTAAGTCACTTGCATATCATGCTCCTAATAACTCACAGCAAATATACCTCACAATTAATTATAATTATCAATATTATTTTTGTGGTCTTTGTACTTTGTATTGTAAATAAAGTGCATTGAAAATCATTCTACTGATGATTTACTTATCGGCTATCACACGTGTATAAGACGGTACAAAAAGAATTTTGAAGGCCACCTGTTAATCGGAGCTATAATCAACAATATTAAAGTCAGGTTTATTTTTATTCTATTAATTTCCTTATACAAATCGAATCCTACAAAATCGGAATAATTCTCGATTTCTATCATTGCAACGGCAAACTTTTAAATGTTTCCGATACTTTAAAAATTTAAATCCACAGTAACGAATAACGATCTACAAAATCCTTATTCAAAATAAATAATTCCTTAATAAAATATATTATTTTATCATGCCTTCCCATTATTATTCATCTGTAATTTAATACATTATCTCTCCGATCCATAATCACTGGCAAAATTTGCATTCCATAATCTTATTACTTTATTCAATCTGTCATCCACTTAACTAAACTCTACAATGTAGAGTTTACATGGTTATTTTTAATCGTAATATTGACTTTTATATTTTATTTTAATACTGTTGATACTATATTAATTGTTATGTTTAATCATTAATTTTTATTAAAATATAAAATCATCGATTAAAATAAAAACTATCAGAAAAGTCTACGTTTAATACACCGAATAGTTATCATTATTTTATATAATATTTATATAATATTAAGATCGGTAAAAAAAGTCAGTTTAATAAATTGAATCTATCATCTCAATACCATGCCATTCACTATTTAAGCAATTCAATATTATATTACAGAATTGATATTTTAAATGTTCATTTACATAGGCGTATTGCATACATTTAAAAGAATACCTCAACACAGCAAATATTAAAGGTCTATGCATAAATCAAATTGAAAATATATTTATCGATTTGATTTAAAATCGTTCACTTTCAAGAGGTCCCTCAACGATAGAGCTTTTATAAATAAGATAATTAATGATCAATTTATCATTTTGGAATTATTCTTTCCAAAGTTTAAACTCTAAAAATCAAGTTTGTAACGTAAGAAATATAGTATATTTTTAGTACCACTACATTCAATAATATAATTAATTGTAGACATTACTGTCTTTTAGTTTCCTGTAATAATACAATAAAACAAGTTTTGATTTTAAATTGTGAATAGAGCAATGAATGTAGTTATTCTATAAATATAAGCATTTTTTTTTTATGTTTTCAATTTAATAGTAACAATCACTCTATTTTCAATTTCAATATTGTTTTCGGATGAAAATTAAATCTACTACCTAGTAAGTATTTTTAATTAAACTAAAAATTCCCAGTACTTTTCTTAATAATTGGGAAAATTTAAAAAAAAAACAGAAATTCAAAAACCAAAAACCTTAGATATTTTGGATAGTTTCACTGAATGTTTACAATGGAACTTTTATACACATGATATTTTAAAAATATTTTTGCTGTTTTTGATCTCTTTATAAGCATTTTAAATTTTTTATTTTTTATTTTTTTGTTTTTTTTAATAAAAGTCAATACAAAATATTTTGCTCCGTCAAAAGGCTTGATATAATACAACATTTCTTATGAATTTTTAATAATATATCTTATTATATAAATATTTAAAAATATAAACTTGGTATTTCATACAAGCATTTGAAATTTAAATTCGGATAATAAAGAACAATGATTTTATTTATTTCGTTGTAATTTAAAAACAGTTTTCCATGAACCTATTCACACCATGTTCTACAATAAATCTGTATTAACTCAAATATTAAAATATTTTAATACAAATTTATGCTATTTATAATAATACTTATAATCGTTACAAAAATCCTACACTAATAAATTGTTTATATCTTATTATACAATGTTGATATTTAACACGTCTGTAATACGCACAACTTAGCATATAATATATAGTTACTTTTAATTAAAACGCTTCTTAATTTTCATAATAAACGGTTTGTACTTTATACCTTTGAATGTAAATTAATTTAATGATAACAGTATAACTAAACTACCATCCTAAGCTAAAATGCCGAAAGGCGTAAAGCCAAATTACAAATTCTAAAGTGTAACTAATTTATGTAAACATAACGGCTTAAGTGTAATAGGTTTATTGTTCTACAAAAACAATATAGCCAATATTTGAACGATTAAAACTTTGTTAATTGTCGAAAAACGCAAAGGAGAAATATTCACTTTGTAAACCAACTAGGCGCGCTAATGTACGCCGTTTCAACTCGGTTTGTAAAAACGTTTACGAACATTGCTGCAAATGCAAATTATGAAAATTAATTTATAATGCGCGACAACGATACGGTAAAGTGGCTTGAAAAAGTGAATATCGTCAACTTTTCCTATCGAACCGGAGATAAAATCGTTTTCCCTCGGCTCTGCACACGAGCGTGTTCAGGTTTTCTGTCCACAACAATATTGTGATATTAGACCAGCGATACTCGACCTACAGCTCACTGATGGTTTTTACGCGTGACCCCAACATAACTCATTGATTTGATAAAAAAAAAAAATTAATTTCAAAACTAATATTACAAATATTACAATAAAAGATAAGTATAACAAAACTATCAGTGTGTTGTACGCGATTGCGATAAGGATGATATGTATTGGGTATTTTAATTATTTATAACGATTTCTCGATGTATTTTTAATTTTATCGCTTATCATTAAACTAGCCGTAGCTCATATTATGTATTTACGAAAAATGCAGCCTATAAGCTCAAAATATGACCCAAACGCAACCAAAAAGCGCAAAAAAAATATTTTTTTAACAAATTATAAACGCAAATAAATTTTACAACAATAAAGTGTATTTTATAAGTTATATATAAGTTTATATTGAGAATATTGTAACTTAAAATAATTATCAGCCTTCACTGTAATTCGTTACGATAAAATTCGATATAATACTAAAATTCAACTGAACCCAATCACTGTTGATCTATATTTGAATTATAAAAATACTATAATATATTAAATTAAAATGTATAATTTAATTTAATAATTAATAATTTTAAAATGAAACTTAATCTGTAACGAGTACAATATTTATTTTTGCGCTTTTATCTCACTACTAAGGTATACAAAAGCGCAAAATAAATTTACGCATTTGGTCTATTGAAAAAAAAACGATTTGTACTTATGGGTTTCACCGAGTTACGAATTATGATTAAACGAACGGTTAGTCACAATGCAAATGTGTAATATCGTTGGTGTCCGGGCACTTTTATTTATTAAATTTTTTTATAATAAATTTTATATACGCAATATAATATAAAGGTATTTTTAGTTTTTTTTGAACCCCCTTTACGTTAATTTCAACTTGCGTAACGTTTTAAAACATTTTATGCGGCCCAAAAAAAAAGAGATCAAGCATGGCTGTATTAGCCGTAGTAGTTATTATACGTATTAATCACCGATGCGCCCTGAGCATTAGGCAGCAACCTTTTATTTTAATGTCTATGATCAAATGACTTTTATCGTACCTAACCCCAACAAGCGACTGCATGGTCGATATGGTTTACCTTAAGTACGTTTTCTCTCCTGGCAAGCGCCACAACGTGCACGCCATTCTTCGCCAACTCGACCGCGATCGCCGCCCCGATGCCAGCGCTGGCGCCAGTAACTATCGCCACCTTGTCTCTCCACCGTTCCATCGCGTTTTTTTCACTATCGAAATTCTTCCGATGTCATGCGCGTCTCTGAACAGCGCGCACTCGTATGATATTTTTGTCTCCTAAAACGAAAAAACGGAATAAACGACTGACAAACGGTATAACATCAACATTAACCGAGGGAGAGTGGCGGTGACACTTCCGACCGAACCTTTCGGCGCGTAATAATGTATAATATTATTATCTATCTTACTGTTTATTGTGCACCGTTCGGACCGACAAAGACAGGTATTATGCGCTGTTGATAGACCATCGAAATCGTTGTGCGTTGCGTTGCACCTCGTTGCGTCTATTATATATCTACCAATATTATTTTGTATGCATATTATTATCATCGAAATACGCTTTTACCGCCGACGAAATGTCTCCGCATGGCGCGCTGCCCGGTCGTTATTTCCTTGGGCTATAAAAAAGTTTCTTCCCGCGCAATACACCAGGCGCGCGTGTACAACGACGTTGTGTTTGCATTGTAATGTTCACCGCTAATTAATAAAAAATAATTATACAATATTGTGCTAAGTGAATAGTGACTGTGATGAGTTGATGAGTTATAACGATTAAAATAATATACACGTTACTCGTACGAACAACATGGGGGGGGGGTAAATAAACGGTAAGAAACCTCCTAGAGGAGGGGGGAGGCTTTATTATATACGGACGAGGCCACTAGAACGTGAGAAACGTTTCGTTTTCCAATTTTCTGGAAATTTTTTTTCTTTTTTATAAATTTCATATCATTGTCGAAGAAACGAATACATTTAATTTTCTATTGTCTTGAAAGTCTTAAAATACCTGTTCCATACGGAATTAATAAGTATGGGTATTATGTTTTTTTTATGTTTAGTTTAGTTATTTATAAACAATTTAAATCTTCTTCAACCGTGAAAATCCTATGTCTTGAAAATTTCAATATAATACCTAACCTATAAACTGTTTATTGTTTAATTAATTAATAAATAAATATTGGTAGATATATGGAATAGTGAAATGACTAACACGCTTGATTTTTTAGTTCTTTTGAACAAAATTAATTATTGAAGTACATAGAATGTTACTATTTTCAAATACTTAAATTTAAAAGAGTATGACATATTATTTTAACTATACGTATTTCGAGTGGCTGAGAATTAACTAATTTATTAACCGTCAAGATATATGCATATAGTTTTATCTTTGTCTTTTATAGCTATATTATAATCTTTAGTGCTCATTACCTTATTCTTACTGCTTAAAAATAATTTACTTAATCCTACATACTTAAATACAGTTGTCACTAAACAACTATATATTTTTAAGTTTTCACTTTTTTCAACAATAAAAATACAACATACATTTTTTATTTCCTTTTATAATGTAGAATATTACTCAAAGTATTTTGATGTTTAGTATTGACATTTCGAACGAATAAATCAATAAGTTATAAGTAGATACTTATTTAATGTTTAAATGAGCTGAATGTGGACCAATATTTTGTGATATGTCTCTGTACGCACTATTTAACTCCTCAAATCTTTAAATATTTATAAATTAACCTATATGTTTATAAACTATATAAAGACATTAACTATTCGTCCAAAATTAAATATTTATGCATCAAAGCTCGTACACTGAAAAATATTCTGCTTTACTTAATTAGGAATTTAATTGTAAAAACTTAAAAACAATAAGAATAATAAACACTTTGCTTATGTATTTTTAATTTTTTTAAATATTTTAAGAACAATATTTGTATGAGATCTTGTATTATAATATGTTTAAGCATTTTGAGTCGAAAAGTTTTTCAATACAAAAAATTCAAAAATTTCAAATACTATTTATAAGTAGCTTAATTTTAGTGAAAATATACATATATTTTAAAATTATTACAAGATATATTGTACAATATGATTTCGAGTATATAACGTAATTAAAAAAGTAACTGTACCTATGTATTTAATATTAACAGTTAACACAATGATAAAATGAATCGTTGTACTTAAATGATGAAAAATAAAAGATTCTGAACGAAGACAATCTAATTTTTTTGTAACTAAGGTGAAAAATAAATATTTTAATAATAATATTTCAATTTTAATGTTTGTATTTTTTTATTTTTTTTCCTCCGATTATATTAAAAATAACTGAAAAATTTCGCAAGTTTAAGCTAGATTCAATTTGATACCAGAAGGTAAAAATCTTCCTCAAAATTGATGATCAGAGCTTTTTTTTGTTATAAAAAGTGTTAAAAATAAAAATGCATATTATTATATAGTAAATTAAATTAATCTATTATTTTAATTTCTTGCATTTATACATAAGTATACTATAGCTACTAAATTAAAATAATAATAATAATAATTTATTTATGATGTAATATTTTACTAAATTTAATCAAACAATACGTACAAATTTGTGCTGTAATTAATACTTCTACAATTAAGTATATAATATATATTATAAAATGCATTATTAACTATAGCCAAAATTAACATCAATTAATATTTCTCTAATTTTTTGTCACCGATAAAATTGAGTAACAAACACGTATAGTTTATACTTAAACATAATATATAATGATTATTGAATCTATATCGGTTATATCAAATAATATTCTAATATTTTGTAAAAAAAAATCTCATAAACACGTAGGTAGTAATGGAATTCTGATCTGCTCTGAAGAAATGCATTAATTCCAAAAATCAATTTTTAACAGAGGTATAAGATAAAATAAATAATAAAACAATGGTAAAATAATCTGTCAGTGAGGGAGAGAAGAGGCATAAATTATAGTTTTTTTTAAAAATGATCAAAGTTTTTTTGTACTAAATTGTTTTTGTGACTGAACTGTCTTAATATTGATACCCATTAATATAATTATTGTATACACTCGAATTTCCTGCAAGTTTAATGCATAAACCACATACTTATTATTAATAATAAGTTAAATAGTTATGTACAATGCAATAAATGTATATTATTTTATACTGTCTTAATAATTTATTGTGGAAGTTATATTCCGATTATCTCTTAAAAGAATTTCTATCACAAATGTATTATATCCATGTAACTAAATATGTACAAAATGTAGCAAATTTTACTCTGTACTTTTTAATACTAAAATAATTTGTTTAGTCCACTTCATTTTTAAATTTTTTCATTAATTATTAAAAATAAATACAAATTATATTTTACTTTTACCCCGTCAAAGAGAAACAACCATCCAAAAAAAAAAATATTAAATTAAATTTGTATGCTATCGCTTATTATATTTTTCTTTTTCACTTTTTTTAATTTTTTCATTTATTTTCACGAATCATAATAATTTGAATCTAATGGTAAAATTTTATTTGTATATTTCTTTATATTTTTACAAAATTCAAAATATATTGCATTTTAAAAAGAAAATTTTTTATATACTTAATTAGTTTATTTAAGTTATTAATTATTGTAAGTTGTTTAATTTATGAACTTTACATAAATAAAAAAATTTTCTTGCATATTTGTTACATATTTTTATAATTTTTACTGAATATTATACGGCATATTTCGATCTTTAATGTATAAAAATTCGTGCTCTAATTATAATCTATGAAAATATTAAATAAGTCTTTTCCGTAAATTGAGTTTTTACCGTGTTTATATGAAGTCAAATTGTTTACTGACTTTTTATTTTTTAACCAATAAATAATTTGTACATTTCAAATTGAATCGGCCAAAATACAAACCTAAATTATAAAATGTAATTAAAGTAAACACGTTACACTTACCAGTAAGTCTTCTTTAAAAAAAAATCCTATGCTTTTATTATGGTATAAAGAACGTCTTGTAAAATAGGAAATTCATTTAAATTTTAAAATATGATATTAACTAGGTACAACTTACAGTACTGTGAACTTATGTTATTCACGTAATGCGTGCATTTCCTGTGAGTTAGACTTGTGAAACAAAACCATTTATAAGCAGTTATATTTTCAAAAAATGTATGGAAAAATGTGATGTATAATTTTTGATGCACTAATGCATTTTTAATTAAATAATTTGAGACTATTTATTAATAAATACTAAAAAACCATTCAAGTTTTATAATATTATTTTTTTTTTTAACATTAATAATTTAGTGATTAGTTTTATACGACAATCGAATTGAATGTAGCAGAAAGCCTGCAACTAATAATCAAAGAATATTAATTACGTCATAACAATATGTTTTTTTAGTTAAGCGGTTAAAATAGTCCTTAATAGTCTTTAAAAGTTTAAATACAGGATAATACATAGTTTAATGATTATTCATTATAAGAATCGTGACATCTCTGAACATATTAGAGATATAGACTATAATATTTATTAATAATCGATTATAGTTTTCTAATAACTAGCTTTCCTATGGGTCATAACTATACCACGTGTTATTAATTATTAAGCTGGTTTGTTCTTTATTCCATAAAAATAAACAAAGTTTTTAACAAAAATAATTCGCCGAAAGGGAACATAATTTAATAATATCTTCATATGTTTTAAAGCACGTAAATGCATACGTGAATGGTTTCGAAATAATTTTAAAAATATACTGTCATCATTTCGATATTTAGAGGTAGAAATTTAGGCCAGTCAACTAATTTAGATAAAATTTAAAACCATAATACTCAACGTAAAAATTCAATGAAAAAATTCCTAAAGACTGTTTGAGAATTTAATTGCGTAAAAATAATTCAATTAAATGTTGACCTATGAACAAAAGATAAAACTAAATTTGATAAAAACTATTTCAAAAGTCTAATGTGATTATGGTACAGTCACATTTAATAGATTTATAAAATGCTCTTGGCATTCAAAAATACTAAATATATTGCAGTCTGAGTGTATTGTTTATAATTATAGAAAATATCTTAAAAAGTCTCAAACGATATGAATTATTTGAATTTTTAAATATTAATTTTCAACAGAATTTATAGAATCAAGTAAGGTTAAAGTTTTAAGGCGTGTGCCTCAACACCCAGTAATTTTTGGTGATGAGCACTATCGAACTATTCGATAGTAGTTTACTATTTGAATTATTCGATAGTCATTCATAACTATTCGAATAGTTTAAAAACTATACAAATAAACTATTAATAAATAGGTTATAAGTTGTTAATTTGTTAATTGTTATCATTCTCGATAATCGATGTATCTAATTGTTGACCAGATTATGTTATGGTATATATCTACTTAATATTTAATTATTAAAACCTAATTGTAAAAAAAGTTGTAAATTAAATATTGACGAGCCGATAGTTTATGATGTTTCCAAATTCCAAATACGTTAGAAATACTAAATAGGAAACATACTAACATCGCAAACACAAATATCCAATACTGTATATATATTAAGTATGTATGTTCGTGAAATTAGCGAATTATCAATGCAAACTCAATAAACTCATTTTTATAAACACAAAATTACACTTTAAACAATATTTTTAGTTAAAAACTAGCGGGGGGTGCTAAACACCACCTGGCACCTTTATATATGCGCCTGTGGTCGTCTTCTTAAAAATTGAAATATTTGAATAGTTCGAAAAAATAAAACTATTGGATAGTGCGATTCAAATAGTCCACTGAACTATTCGAAAATTCTATTCGATCATTTTTCTAAATTATCAAATACTATTCGATAGTGTCCATCACACTAATTTTACCTAGATATTTAAGATTAACTTTAGGGATCTATTTATATTTTTTCAAAGATAATAAGATTTTACCTATTAATGACAAAAAAGTAAGATCAAAAAATAAAAAATAAAACTTAACCTCGTTGTGATAATACACCTATATATTAAGCATGTAAAATTGCATTGGTGCAATTCAGGTACTTGGATGCTTCTACTTTTTTAGGATGCTTGGTTTAAGTTTTGTTTTCCTTTTTAATTATTGTATTCTATAATAAACAATGTCGGATAAGTAAACTACTACGTATACAAAGTATTATAAAAACAAAAAATAAGCTACTGCGGACAACGTTGATAGTCGTTTATTATTATCTACGTAGACTATAATATAGTCAATATAGTATAATACTTTATTTTCTTAAATATTCGTTTCAAATGATAATAGAAAATAAACCTTATGATAGTGTGACCCTTTATATTATTGTTATTATTTTTACACACGCTTGTAATATATTTTATTTTGTACGTATTGATATTTTAAGTCGGTATCTATCTATAAAATTACTTTAACAATAGACCTTCTGTAGTGTACGTGATCTTCGCGTGGTAGTCGTTTCTTGAACATATTTTTAAACAGTAAGAGTACGGTAAGTATTTTTGATAATCAATATTATTATTAATATTATATGAATTATATTGAAGTACATACTTTATAAATATCAATGGCATTCCATCGCGAGTTCAATGACCGTAGTATAAGCTTTAAATGATAAAGCTATACCTGGTACACATACAAAAATATGATAGACACATACGGTACTAATTATAGTAATACATTTTGATGATATATTTTTGATATTGAGTAATCAGTTATTTGATCAGTGATTATGATTTAAAAAAAATTAAGATTGATCAACGGAAAAAAAATTTAAATTAATAATAAAATCAGTCGGAATTGAAACATTTTTGATTTTGTTTTAACCCACAAATAAGGCTCGAAACTTAATGCTCTTAAAAAGTACTTGACATATTTAGATTTATGTACTTAAAAAATATACACACTTATTTTATAAAATTATAAACAGTTAATTACAGAATTAATATTCTTAAGAGAGTTAAATAAATTTAAGTTGCTTAATAGTTTTACACTAAAAATTAAAAAAAAAAAAAAAAATAGTAATATAGATAACTGTATTTATACATTTTAAAACATATTCCTAAATTTAAATAACAAATAAATAACATTAAAAATTGTATTGGAATAAATTTCTTTTTATTATAACTATCATTAACTATGTATAGGTACTTGTATAATATATTATACATACCTATTAATATAAAATATATAGTTACAAGTTTAATAAGGATAAACTATTATATAAACGTTGATGGTTAATACCAACAATGTGAAAATTAAAATTATATTATCTTAATATCTATTAAAAATCATGTATATATCTTTTTAATTTATGAATGTATCAAACATCAAGTATATTCTAAACAATTGTAAAATTCAGAAATATAATACAAAAAAATATAAATAAGCATATATCTCTCAACTGTACATTAGGTGTCGAGTAATCATTATTAAAGATGTGTTAAATTTGAATTCAATAGTATACCTTCGAATATCGTCCAAATTTTGAACTTTAATATCTATAAAAAATAACTGCCTGTATATATTTTCCAGATTTAATAGTTCCAGTATAAACTACTTTTACTTATGAAAAATGTATTAAATTCTCTAAACTAATAATAAAAAAAAAATTTATTATCTACAAAGTAGTTTGCATTATTTTACGATTTAAACAAATTTTAACTAGCGTTTAAGTTTATAAAAAAAACATGATGACCAAGATTTTTTATAAATTTTAATTAAAAGATAAATAATTTATGAGAAGTTTTGTACTAAATCTTCAACCATTTCTACCTAAAGAATATTTTTAATCAATATTTATAAAAAAAAACAACTGAAAAAAAATTAAATTTCTCATGCTTATAAATAGCTCAAAATTAGTCGAAATATTTTGAAAATTTGGTCATAAATAGAAAATTTCAAGTATTACAGTTATTTGGTTTTTTGAGTTATGCCAAAAAAACAAAATCAATTTTGTCAAAAAGTAAATTAGCATAAAAAGTCAAGTTTTTTCTTAATTACGTTTTGGTATTTCCTGGTTATAAAAAAAAAAAAAACAGGGAATTTAAAGTTTTTACCTTTCCAAAGTATCAATTTTCGATCCCTCATCAACATTTTTTATCCAAAACCTCCCTCAAAATTAAAAATGGAAGAATTTTATCGACTATTTATCGTGTACACATTAACAAAAAAAAACCATATCATTGTAAAGTAAAATCAATTCATTCATCGCTTCACTCAAAATCTAAAATCACAAAATACACATTATAAACTTTTAATTTATTTTTTGTAATGTTTCCAAGTCCACTTAGCAATATACCTAATATATCCCACAAAAAAACTTATGATTCGCTATACCATATTTATTGGCTCTACAAATTTAAATAAAGTGTTTTTAAATTAGAGTAGTAGTGGCTATCGGTGGTCAGATGAGCCATGCTCCTCCTTTTCCCCATTGACCATATATTTTTTTTTATTATTGACTAAATAACAGTATCTTTATAGACATAGTACCTATGATAATATAAATAAATTATATGTAATTAATTTATGGCGATAAAAATATTTTATTGTTATTCATAAATATAAATTCCATTTATTATCTATAACCACGGTAGAAAGATTACAAACATATTAAGCTACCGTTCATGTTCATGATCGCGACAACGCAAGCCATCCAAGTTAAATAAAGAATAATTATTATACATTATACTATGTTCACTCGTAAAAAACATAGTTAAAAGCTACAAAAAACAAACAAAAGTTGAAAAGTTTGGCCCTGGCTATTATAAATACTAACTAACTCAAAAATAATTAACTGGTTTTGTTAAAAATAAATTCCTAGGAGAATGAAAGTTTTGAATTAGACTTTGACATAGTAACGATATAATATTATAATATATTAGTATCTACCTCATTAAAAATATTTAAAATACTCGTATAAGTTATTTGTAATAAATTATTACAAAAAAAGTTGTTGATATTTTATTTATTTCAGTAGTATGTATTTAATTTCAAATCTGATCATACAATAAATATACAAATTATTATTATCTCTAATGAAAACTGTAAAAATTTAATTTTTATAAAGTATTTTTACTGTCTCCCCTCTTTTTAGAAGTTTTGAGTATGCTACTATTCATACCTATTTTAAAGATAAAAAATGTATTACTTTTATCGTACTTATAATATATCTTTAGGCCTTGTTAATATTATATAATTATTAATAAAACATTAAATCTTATTAAAGTACATTGAAAATTATTATATAACTCCAAACGAATTATACGAAGCAATAGTACTGAACCAACAAGAAAACGATTCCATATCCTACGATAAATAAATATATGAAAAGTATAAAAACCAATAATACCTATTAGCATTTAATATATGAAAAAATGTATTTATAATTTTTAAATAGCTATTGGCATATTATAATTATGCTAAAATGTTTGTTTCGCTATAAGAAATATGTCTATTCTAGATTTTTTTGAAAATATAACTCATAGAAACTATTTAAATAAAGAATCATCTTTTAAGTAAAATATTTATTATTTATATTTTTATTAAATTTGTAAGATTATACTATGATATTATGTTATTAAATAGTGCCTTATTAATTGAAGCGATTGGTGTTTGCGTATCCATAAACATCTAATCTCTCTATACATTGAATACCAAATAGTCATCTAATAAAATCTATAGCCAAAATTATGTACAAAAAATGTAATTTTTAAAACACGATTTTTAAACCAAATCTTAAAATGTTCAATAGCCGTAAGTGCTTCAACATCGCAGTAGATACCGTACGTATGAAAACCTACGTGTTTTAAATAATATAATATGTTTTCATGAATTTCGAAACTCGTTACTCTCAATTCCTTTTTAAAAAGCGCTCTTAATATCTGTTCAATGACCGTATTGATAAGTATCACTGTTTATTATCACACACCATCATATCAATATAATAGTCGAATTATTGAATTAGATAGTCCGAGAAGCGTGAAAAACAAAAGCAAAAACCAAATATCGAAACACTTATTACACATTTATAATACATACCTATATCACGTTATTTTCCACGATCTGTTATCCGCGTGTTGAAGAGTTCAACGACCGCAATTTTAGCATATAACGATAAGCCCATATTACGATACCGGCAAATTGTGAATTCGTAACACAACAAACATATATATTTTATATATATATGTGTGTGTGTGTGTGTATAAAACTCAAACTTTAAGTGTTCGAATATAATACGTAGTTGGCAAATCGCAACAATATTTCGTATTACACGCTCTTATCGTGACCAGCTGAAGTGCTATGCACAGAAGTACCTGTGTACACCGTGTAATTGGTATACATATTTCACCTTCAAAACATGATTCATGTGATAGATTAACAGCGCCGGCGATGATGGCAATTTCTAGTATTAACAGACGCGCTCGAACGGTTTAAAAACGGCGCCTTCCTACGATTCGCACACCAAAGAACCGATGACACCGTGCCGCTAACCACTATACGCGTCACACGACCGTACGCGCATCGATCGCGACTGGAAAACCCACGATCGGCACCGACATTATACGCGTATTATACGACCACCGCGAATTTCGCGGTGAAAAATTTTTTTTTCTTTAAATTTTATACCGGAAATCGCCACCGACGCCAGGCGCGTCTCCCACGGAAATAAGTAACGATAATAATATAATATATATTATACATACCGCAAAAATGCCGTCATCGGCGTCGGGTGCCGCTGCGGCGGCGTTGGCAACGCTCTTCGCCGTGGCCACAGGCGGCTGGTCGGGACCTGTTCCGGCGGAATGCGCGAGGATATTGGCCGTGGAGACGGTTGGCGGCCGGAGCCACTGGAACGTCATGAGCGGCATCATCGGGGCGCTGGTGGACAGCGGGCACGCCGTCACCGCATTCACGCCCTTCTTGGACGGCGACCGGGCCAACTACACGGAAGTAGACATATCCGGCGGGTTTCAGGTGGGCCTGGACTTGGACATGATCGACCTCCTGGACTACTTCCGCAACCCGTTCTGGACGTACGGCGCGTTCGTGGAGATGGGCCGGTCGCAGTGCGACGTGGTCTACGGTCACGCGGAGATGAAACAACTGCTCCGCGACCCCGCAGGCTTCGACGCAATCATCATCGAATCGTTTTGGTCCGAGTGCATGTCGTACGCAGCCGCCCGGCTCGGCTTGCCGCTCATCTACGTCACGCCGCTGCCGCTGATCGCGTTCATGGAGCGCGCCACCACCGGTCACGTGTCCAACCCCGCGTTCGTTTCCAACCTGATGATCGGGCACGCCGTTCCCTCGACATTCGGCCAGAGGCTGACTAACGCGGCGCTACAGGTGTTCGGCTCGGTTGTGCAACGGTACAAAGAGTTCGAGCTTAAGTACACCGGACCACCCAAGGAGTACGATCTACTCGATCCCGTCCCGCCGTCCCTGGTGTTCGTCAACAGGCATTTCATTAGCGACGCTCCGAGCCCGGTGCCTAGGAACGTCGTTGACGTGGGCGGAATCCATCTGAAGGCGGCCAAGAGTTTGCCAAAGGTGAGTTTTGACGGTTATTTTTGTGAAAGTGCAAAAGCAGAATGCTGTTGTCGGATTACGAAAAAGTCGATGACCGACGATTGTGATTTATTGTTGATATTATTTTTTATTTTTTTTTACCATCGGAATCGGGTTTTTATCCATTCTAAATATACACGTGCTTATCAATGAGATAAAACACTATTTTTTAATCTCTTTCAACTCCTCCCCTCAAACTTTGATTAACCGTATACTAGTGAGCGAATTGATTTGAATTATCGTGAAATCAGAATTCGACATTTGCTCTCGCTTACTATAGCTTCAACAAATCATAACGTATTATTGTATTATAACAAGTTGATGTAAATATTATTTGCTTATCGATTCCAAAGATTATTGGTCTCACCGTTTAAATTTGATATCTATGTATAAAAGTTCAAATGTATTTATAATTATTAGTATGGTGAGATTAAGAATAAAAATAAATAAACAAATATAGGTACAATAATAATCATTACTCATTATTTAATAATTTAAATAATAATTAACTATACTTACATACTTTATATAAATTAAATCACTAGCCTAATTGAATTTATTTTTTGTGTTGCATTCCTGTGATTGTAAATTTGTATTTTGATTAAGGCACATTTGCATTCAAAATATCATTAATACGAATTATTAACAGAAGGATGACTTTTTCTTTACGTCACTTACTATAATATAAATGACCACAATCACTAATACTGTAGAAATTATTTTTTTTAACATTTTTAATAAATAAATATTATTTCTCGATCGCAGGATGTGTTAGAATTCATCGAACAATCACCTCACGGAGTAATTTTTTTCACACTTGGTTCTACCGTAAAAATGTCTACGATACCAGAAATTGTAAAAAACAAGTTGATAAAAGCACTCGCGCGCGTCCCGCAAAGAGTGTTGTTGAAGTACGAAGTTGAAATGGACAACAAACCGGAAAACATAATGATGAAACAATGGTTTCCCCAACGCGATATACTTTGTAAATAATAAAATATATTATATAAATATTATTCTTACAACACACCAACCCGAATCGCCAGTAACAGTAAATAAATTGTTTAATACCTGTTAAAATATGGTGAAACGTCGTTGCAGTGCACCCCAATGTGAAACTGTTCATCAGTCACGGAGGTATATCTGGAATATACGAAACCGTGGACGCTGGTGTCCCAGTTCTCGGATTTCCTTTGATCGGCGACCAGCCGAGAAACATTGACAACCTGGTGAACGCTGGCATGGCTATTTCTATGGACCTACTGTCCGTCACCGAAGACTTATTCTTAAACACCGTCTTAGAACTGCTCAACAACAAAAAGTAAGTTGAAAACTATACGAAATATTTAAAAAAAAACGTCCATAATTTATCGAACTCACAAACCGTTACCTACGTGTTTCTATAATAATTATAAAGACCGGGATTGAAATAAAAAAAAAAGAGAGAAAAGTGAGTAACCGCTCTACAGATTGAAAGTCACTGTACTGTATGCAGGGCTGGGTTTGGGAATGCGGGGGCCCTAGGCCCACGGCCCACCCTTAGAAATAGATATTATTTTTCGATTACATATAATTAATTTATTGTCATAAGTGAATTTAATTTAATAATAAATTAAAATTTACCGCAAAACAATATTTAATTAGAAAGTATGATTTAAAAATATTTAAATTTAAATATCAAAATAATAATAGGTAATAATAATTTATATTATAACATACCCGTATATTTAATACATTTTTTTTATTAAAGTTAAAAACCCTGACAAATTACCAACATTATTATTCAGTTTATCCTACTCTGTTAGACACTGATCCATAATAATCAATTTTAAATTTATGTTTATAAGCTCACTATTCACTTTTATGCATTTATAATACATAAATATATTATTAGTTTTTAATAAAAACATTTATTTATAAATTTATGACAATATCAATGATCGAAAATTTTTATTCGAGTTATAATTTAAATTTATTTTACAAATATTATATTGTGTTTTATACTCGGATGCAAAAATAAATGGAGGCATTCATTTTTGGAGGCCCGCGGCCTGGAACCCTCTGGGCCCCCCCTAAATCCGGCTCTGAATGTATGTGTTAAATATATACTCAATGGCATACCATTAAACGATTCTAAGACTGCAGTCTGTCAGCCCAGATATTATATTACTAATAAATATATTTCACGATATTTGTTTTGATATCACTATTAAAATGATTTATTTTAATATAAGTACAATAGGTAACGCGTAGATTGATCTAACTTTTTCCGAAAACATTGCGTTTATTCATTTTTAATCATTAAAACAGTATATATATTTATATCGTTTATTGTGATTATTAACTTTTGAGTCAATACCGTCTTACCATAGAACGGTATAAATAGATTTTAATATGTATAAATAGACAACACCTAAATAATACACTAATATAAACGACTTAAAACTGTCATAGTGTTAATAAAATATAAAAACCTACGGAATAAAAATTTAAAGTGGTTTTTTCGTTTCGACGTAGGTATCGACGTAAGTGTTTCGTCCAAATTTGCACTTCAAACGTCTATAAAAAAATAAATGTGCACATTATTTATTTTTTAGATTTTTTTGTTCTAGTATAAAAATATTTTTTCAAGACAATTTTGAAAAATAAATGACATATCGTTAAAATATTTAAGAAGTTTCACACCAATTCTGAAAAACTGGCTTATTTATACAGCCACGTAAAAACAATACGTAGGGGAGCATGGGGCATAGTGTTACACGGGACAAAGTGTTACGGTAACAATTATTTGTACTACGCAATTAGTAACGCCAAAATAATCACGCAGAATTATCGGCTTTAACCATATGCATACTATCATTGATAAGCCGGTTTAAAAACAAACTTATTTTTATAAATAATTTAAAATAACTAAAATGTGTTTAAAAAAAACGTGTTCTATCGATTAAGTTTTTTTCTACAGTTATTCTCAAAGTTAAGTTTTTTTATTTCATTTTACTATCTATCTTGTGCAAAATGATACTTTCCTGGAATTATCTATTTGTAAAAATTAATTATTACATTATAACCAAAATCGTTAAATATGGCCGTTTGGAACTAACTGTTACGGGGCAAACTGTTACAATATTAGATACATTAACATCACAGTTAAATCGATTATATTTTAAATAAATTTGTTTTAGTGTTTGTGTACATTTAATTATTAATTTATCTAAGTTTAATAAAGGTTTTTTATTAAATATTTTATACAAATATGATTTAATTAGACCAAGGATAAATGAAATTTTAATTATACTAGCAACTAAATTTTGCATATACTTTTAATATAAAAGTACCTATTACTATACATTTTGGTTAAATATTCATCTTCAATATGGACTTTTTAATATAGCTAATATAATTACCTACTGATTGGATAAGTCTAGTAAAATCTATCATTATATAAAATTGTTTATTGGATACTAGTATCGTTTGACCCCAGCTATTGTAACACATTGGCCCCGTCCTGGGGTAATGTGATACAAATTTTTTTTTTTCAAATTTATTTTTAACTTCAAAATATATATTTATTTTACTGGTTATCATGATCATATCAATCATTACATGTGTATTTAATGAAAATAAAAAATAAAATTAGGAATTGATTCATACACCAATTTTATGTAAAATACAAAAAAAATCATATAACCCCATGCTCCACTACTAGTAAAACACGAATTCACTAATTTAAAAGTATTCAAAACATCTTCGACTATCACGAATCTTTTGGTCTGCTTACGTAGTCTGAAAAACTATTTGTTAAATCGTTTTCTTGAACGCTAACAACTGTGTACATGTTATTATGCAGAAATATGCGATTAATGTTGTGTGTGTTTATTCGTCTCAGATATATATAAATATGATAAAAATAATAATTCTCTCGTACGCAATCCGAGTACGCAGTTGTACCGATAAAGCATATTTTTTGTAAATCCCAATTATTATTGTTATTTTTATTGTTTTGCGTACGTATAGGTACTCGGAGAACGCTAAAAACGCCATGAAAATATTCAAAGATCGACCCATGTCACCCAAATCGTCGGTCGTTTACTGGACGGAGTATGTTCTACGTCATCGCGGAGCACCGCACTTGAAGTCTCGCGCACTTAATCTGACGTGGTATCAATATTACTTGTTGGACGTGATGGCTTTCGCGTTCGCATGCATATTCTTCGCCGTTTTTGTAATCTACAATATTTTCAAATGCGCTGCGCGCGTTATGTGTACAAAAATGTCGAATCACTTGTGGGACGTCAGAGTGAAACGCGAATGATTTGAATAATTTCAATCCATAGTAATGACATTGTAATGGTATTGAATTACTCGATCTCGTTTATTAAGTATTATAGTTTCCTAGTTCGTACGGTGTATGATAAATTAATAATAACCGTTTGATTCCCATCTGCGCACATGACGTTCTATTAACAATTTTTTTAACTCTTTTTAATTTTTAGATGTTTACCTATTGATCGAATAACATTTTTAAATTATCTTCAAAACTGAACGAAATATTATTTTTAAAGCTGCAAATCACTAGTTACTATATTGACTTTGCAGTTGTTAAATTGTCACTTGTTGTACGCGTCGGTCATATTGTACGATGTATAGTGTATATAAATATAAACTATTTAGTATTTACAATTGTTTTTGTTGTTTATTAAATGTATACACATGCATTAATGGGAATCAAAATAAAATCGTTTATAAGATGATTAATCTGCAATAATATTTAACTTAAGACTAAAGTACAAATAGTACAATATAGTCAACACTTGATTATATTTATCTACGTAACTGTATAGCGTTCAGTTGTTTTTGCTAATAACAACATGAATAACTATTAAATAAATTCTAGGACAAAAAGGTAGTGTGCACCGTCCGCTTTTCCGGTGGACAGGTAATGTTGAAAAGTTGATTTATAATATTACGCTGTGCAAATATTATGTTATCTATGAAGTGTCCTTGGTGTAAAAACCTTTTAGTGATATAATTGGAATAAGTGCAACCATTGAATTGGCTCCTGGTATTAGGTAAAGTACCTCATCGAACGTTTTGAATTTGCTCCCAATATAATTTTCAACAAGTGGTTGTCAAATAAATACAAAAGTAAAAAAAATACTCGACTTGAGTGTTTTTAGTGACACAGTACCAGATAACTCCTTGAAATTATCTAATCGTTAATCCGATAACGCATTAAACGGTTACAGCCCTCATCGTATTTTTATAATTTAACTATCTATGTATAAGAGATTTCACTGATATCATTAAACGCATTACTCGCAATCCGTCATGGTTCGTTGGATTTATAAAACAAATTTTGAGAGAGCCAATTCAATTATACAAAAATATCGATCACTCGAGTTTAGAAGCCAATTCAATAGCTTCAGGAAAAATCGATTGTCGACGGTAAGCTGCAGTGATCGTATAAGTATTGGTGTATTATGTCCTTACTATGACGCTTGCGAATTTCGTTATATGCAGGACAACCATGTCCAACAACCGTGCATAGAACGTCAAAATAAAACACATATATATATTATATCTATTAAGTACCTTTTATGACAAGTGAAAACAACTACTTTAAATTATAGTTGTCCTCCAACATAATAGTGTTTTAAAAACCACTTGTAAATTTTAAATAATATTATAGTTGAAATTTCAAATTTTATTTAAAAACTTGTTTTGATTAGATATTTATTTAAATTTAATCACTTTACGTTAAAAAATCAAAAACTTATAAATGTATATAATAATTGTAATAATTTTAATTCAATAAAATACAGATATTTTAAAATTAAATTAGCACTAACATTTTAAGAATGAGTTAAGAACCCTTAGGGGTCACTCCCTAACTTAACAACTCGGGTGCACTTATTTGGATAGTTTAATATTGTACCACAGAAATTCGGAACAGTACGTATAAAGTTAGTTTACAATTTACATAGCATGGTATTAAATTGCATCATATTGGTATTTTTTTAAATTATTATTTCAAACGGGAATATTTAATTACCTACAACACTTTAGAAAATGTATGCATTTCAAAAATAAAATATAGTTTCTAACAATTATAATATAAAATAATGATATATAATATTAAACATTATGAATAGTGTTATTTTTACACGATAATACACGTGTACGTGGTATTAATATATAATAACTTCGTTTTAATAAAAAAAAAATTTTAAATGACTAAAAGATCATATTAATTTTATCTACCAATTACACGCATATAAAAAAATCCAATGGATTTGAACTCCGAATAAGTTATTATATCTAAAAATATATTGATTTCGACTATTATCTTATAGGTATTAGAGATTATAGAAAAAAAAGCTTAGTCATACCTTGCTTGCACCTATGCCAATGTGATGATGAACTCTAAAATAATTTTGTACTAGATCTTCAAAACTGTAGTCTTAGGTCTGGTTTTTCAGCTAATCAAACCTAACTAACTGACGATAATAAATCATTACATACACGCCATAGTTGTCGCCATGGCTACGGTCGTTACTTTGAAAACCCACCAGCCCCACTATACGTTAGGATCCTGACGACAAGTATTGATGTCGTATGTTAGTCGTCACGTCGTCATGTCGTCGTCAGAATCCATGACCAGCGATACAGCGGAATATCCTGACTACGTGCATAAGTGCCTTAAGTACGTGTCGATCTACAGTAATGGAACGTTTTCATGTTCTTCATCAGACGACGATGATTGCAGCTTCGATGAAGACATGGAACGGATTTTATCGGAACACAATGAACCCGAGCCAAAAGATTGCGATGCAACAGGATTTTCATCATCTTACCAAGCGGCGGCGGCAGCGGTAGCGGCAGAAACGGACTCTTCGCTCAACACTTCCAACCGGTATGATAACTGGGACGAAGCACTTGGAGACGCGGGCATGGTGTACCCACCACTAGGCGTCTGCCGGTTTGCTTCTGAGACGTCAAAAAATCGAAAACTGCTTATCTTTGGCGACGATACAAATATACAGTCGGATCAGAGCAAAAGTCCTTCGTCGTCCGCCCAGCTTCTTAGGAAATGCCTGGAAGGTGCACTTTATGGACAGGACACTAACGAGTTCACAGTGGCGCAGCCTTACTGTGCCGCCAACAAAAACCTAGATTTCGGAATGTCTAAAATGTCACCCGAAGCTGTGCATGACTCCAAAAAGAGAGTGGAAAACTGGATGAATAAATACTACATTTCCAACATTGGGCCGGGTACAAAGAGTGGACATTAATCTTGTAAGTTATATATCAGCGCGTGCGTGTGTGAGAGTGCGATGTATGTACGTGTTAACTACACTTGTAGATTTTTGCAGTGTACATTGTAAACACATAAATTTAAATTTTACTTATTTTTGAAAATGTATAATCAAATACATTTTTTTTTTTTATAATAAGCGACTAAAAAATTGTAATAATATTTATAGTTCTTTAATTATTCAGATCAAATAAAAATTATATAGAATTTTACTTCTTTTACTATATATTTATATTATTTAAATTAAAAATTAGATATCATCATAAAAGAGTGCTTTGGTCGTTCAAGCCTCCTAACCAAAAACAATTTTTAAAACTCCTAAAAAATATTTCAGAAACAAATTAAAATGTATAAAAATATAAGTAGTTAAATCAATTTTTATGAATAAGTATGAATATTTTCTACCAATATTATTTGTGTCTACTATAAAATACATATATCAATCAGTATAATCTGTCGGATTCATGTCATATGCTGTGCTAGAATTGGAATAAAAAAAAAAACGAGCTCATATAGAATTAAAAAAAAAATCATTTTATCTTTAAATGATTCAATTATCTATTTATAATATTATACTAAAATACTTTAAGTTTTATAAATTATAATTAATTAAAAATAAGGATAATATGAATTATTTTCATAGTGAAAAAAAAAATAAAATAATTATAATTATGATAATATAGAATTGTGTTGTTTATTTAGTTCATCCTTTGTATCACTTAATTTAATTTTATAGGTTGAGAGAAGGCGTGAAAACGACAGTTTCTTTAAAATTATGATTTTAATTTTCGAAATAAAAACAAGATAATATTAAATTAAATAGTTTTTTTTTTTACCTTTATAAAGAATTTAGTGAATATCAGTCTATCGTTTTAATAAATACACAAAATGTTTACAGTATAATATATTATTAAGAGCAGAAATACTTAAATAAAATATTCAATGGTGGCCTAGGGTAGCATGGTGGTTGCCTTCAGTCACTAATACGTATGTTCTGAAGTCAAACTTCGCCCAGCATTGCTAGCTCTCGGATAGTCGGATGGGTGACCACCAGATTTCTTAATGACGAATCCATGGTGCATACACATACGCAACACGTGTTCCAACCTAACAAACACAAACCCTACACAAAAAAAACCTACTGTGCCTTTCTACAATTAATAGCTTTTGTTTCCGAGCTTAAAAAAATCAATAAAAAAAATATATATATGTACATATATTTGATGAAATAAGAATATTTGTATTTTTAGACAATACACCATACACGAGATATTAAATAATAGTATACAAAGTTAATAATAAATAAAATAGTAAAATATGGAACATATAATTACTGTAAGTAATAGAAATAAATCTAATCCTTAGTTGAGCTTTGGTAGATCGATGGCTAAACGATGCTTGTTATATTTAATGAGTATTTTTAAAAGAAAGAATCAATATTTCAAACTTCAACTTTAATTCAATTTATTACAATAAATATAAATATAGGTAACCAAATATTTTAATAATTTTATACAAAAAAAAAAAAAAAATTGTATAGCCGATTATATTTTAATACTTGTGCACTTGTGCAGTGAATAATTTATGTAAATGCATAATATAATACCTAAAAATATTTTTAAATAGCTTTTATTTGACCATAATTATCTTAAAATGTACTGTGACTGTTAGTCTATTAAAATATTATCTTTCAAGTACCGTGTAGACACGCTATCGTAATTTTTGTACAATGTTTACCCTAAGTAAAATTAATTTTAATAAATATTTCTCAAACCTAAATCAATTGGCGTGAAATCATCTTTGAAGAAAACTTTTTATCTTCAATCACGCACTTAGCAGCCAATGACCCCCTAAAAAAAATCTTTACTATGTTAATTTAAAATTTTATTCTCATAATTATACTTTCGTAGAAATAAATCATCGAAATGAACATGTTTCAATACTAAGTTAACGATGACTTTAAGACTCGAATGAAATATAATAATTCCATCTAACAGTGTTTTAAAATGATACGCATCGCGCATGCGTCTATGAAAATAGTTAACAAACAAAATTTTCAACAATATGAATAAAAATAAAAATAATAATCAACAAATTATAATTAACCATAAATGTAATCAGAAAACAGCAAACGAGTATTAACCTTACTCACCGGTCACCCTTAAAAAATATCTCAACCACTATTAAGAAATCAAAATATTTCTCTAACGTCCTACTTAGTACTTACTAAATTTAAACTCCACTCTATTAATGCAAAAGATGACAATCATGTTTTAGAGTTTTAAATATAAAGTCAGGAGCCAATATACTTTACCACACATACACAAAAGTAAAAAGATTTGCCATTCCCCTTCCA